TCCCCCGTACCTATTATTATAGATTCTCGAAACCATGCGGGCGCTGAATTTGCTCACGCGTCCCTACATTTTGGTGCCAGCGGGCTCGGCCAGGCAAGTCTCGATTCGCCAGTTTCGTGGTTGTGGCCATGTTCCTTTTCACCGATTTCAATAGGAGTGGGTGAGAATCGTAGCCGCAGAAAAAAATCGGGATTGAAACTGTAGCCCCGGATATAGCCGGAAGATCATTTCTGAAAATCTTGCATTTCGACCGAAAAGCTGTTCGAGGCGGTCTATTTTTCTCGAAAATGTTAATCTTCAGCTACCGTGATTTTATTCGATTTTTACTTTTCCTTTAAGTGGAGCGAAGTTCTCCTACAAAACCTTGTGCGTTTACTATGCAGCATGTTGTTTTAGTTTTACGCTTTTATTTTCTGGTTTTTACTTTAAGAGATTCTCGTCTGCGCACAAGGTTTTGGCCGAAACATGAAAATTCACTTTTTTATTTTGCGCCTGGGCTGCAGCTATGCCTGCTGCCATACCTCCTATCTAGCATGCAATTCCTAGCGATCCGCAGACATCCAGGTATATTCAGAAATTGAAATCCTTGGTGGCCAGGCTTCGAAAAGTCTCAGACATCAATGTCTACAAATCCTGCGAAGATCCTACAATACCGAAGGAATCCGACGCATCCTAGAAGTCCTGAAAAATCTCAAAAATCCTGGACAGGTTCAGACACGCGCTAATTACGATAATTCATGAAGTGATTTCTCTGACAAAGCCCATCCAAGGCAAAGCCTGGCTTCGCTTGGCGTGATGAGATATTCATGCTTGCTTGACGTGGAGTTGGCGGCCGAGCGCATGGATCAAAACATTGGTTTGCTGGACAGGCTGGCGAACGCTTCCAATCATGAAGTGTTGATGAGCTCCATTTCTTTCGAATATTGAGCCAATATGACCCACTCTCATAAGGTAGATCCAGATGTCCAGTCACTATACAGTCGACACTTGCCAGCATTCAACCAACCAGTCTGTGGCCCTTGCATAAGGATTTCTGGAAATTCTTGCAAACCTGCTCGCAGGCTTTCGTTGAGATCGTCATCCTACAGTGACATCGGCCCGGCGCTTAAGCACATGTGCAGTCACATAAGTGCCTTGCAAGAGGACAGCTATCTTATAGCTTGTACTCTCGGTCTGCATTGCATGCTATTCCTGGCTCCTCGATTGATTGCCGGTTGAAATCGCAGCCGTACAGCTCAACTCTGAAGCATATAGACAAGTTGGATCATGGCCGAGAATACGGAGTCTGTCATCGTCATCTCATCCGAGGAGGATGAGCCAGCTCCCAGAACAGGCAGCGCCGCAGACAGCCCTGCTGCTCCGGTGGGCATACGCGGACTGTGGGGACAACACCAAGATTGCGGAGAGTGCAGTGGATCGAACCAGCTACCGTGCTGCTTTGGCCCAAATGGCCACGCAGCAATGGCCGGCCTAAATGGGCGCTGTGACCTGTGCAGCGGTGAGGTCATTGAGATGCTGCACGCAAGTATGCAACAGCGTCTGACGCATCTCATCGCCAACCTCACGGGCAAACCTTTGGAACACGCCCTTGTTCGGATCAAGATGGTCCTGGGCAGTGAGGCTCGTGACATGTACGAAAGACGACGTGAGCGAGCTATTCACAGACGGCCTCGACATGGGCAAGTTCGAAAGTCTGCAGGCGCAAGCGCCAACAAGGGGTCTGAGTGAGCGGCACAATTTGCTTTGTTCAGAATCTGGCATGAGAAAGTAACCAGCTGTCCTCACGCAAGAGGCCGCTAGCCTGACTCTGAACTCATGTGTAGGCTTCGATTTTTTACATCAGGCGTGTTATCGACTGACAGTTGGCACCGCAGAAATATCATTGGCGCGTGGAGGTGCGTCCATGCACGAGTCAGACAGCTTCTGCACGTTGTATTCTGCAGAATGATTGCAATCGGTTCTGTCCAGACCCTGCTAGCAAAGTGCAACACAGCAAGTTCAGGTTTGCCATAATTCACCGCAGTGTTCTTCGGATCAATTGAAAGCATTCCCTGTCCTTCCCATCCTGCCACCATGTCTGCCGGCTTGTTCGACAACACTGATGGCGGAGCGCCCCCTGCAGCGACTGAACAAGTTGCGGGCAGGCGCACAAAACTGTTTCCGTGGGATTCAGTTGCCACCCAGCTCTTCGAGCCGCACGGCGAAAGCGCCCTGGATGCCATGTCCCTGAAACAAATTTGGGAAGCTGCCATGAAGGGGAACAAGAAAGCGGCATATCACTCCCACCTATGCGCCGACAAGACAACCGACGCATGGCATGTGGGCGCAGGCATCTCCCTCACTGCCGCATCCTTGCTCGCAGCCATAAAGCACTTCCGAAACCCGGACATCAAGAAGATCATCGTGCCGGAGCTCTACGCCAAAGTTGAGAACGAACTCCAAGCTTTGGAGCCCAAACTGCAGCTGCTGAATTTGGGCAAGGGGTCACAAAGCCAGAAAGACATCGGGTCCTTTCGGGCCGCGAAGCGCCTCAAAGCCACTGGCGCTGGATCTGAGGGCGCCCTGGCAACGGAGGCTGATGTCATGGAGGCGACCAAATTCTTTTACAACTGGCTCGCCCAGCCCAAGAGCGCCTTTCGGTCCATGCTCTTTCTCTTGGCTGGCTCCAACACATACTACTC